TGATGTGGGGCTATCGGCACGTGGGTACTTAGTTTTTCTTCAATGAGATCAAACTTAAGTGACTTTACTTCTATTCGTCTTAACCGCAAAGTATGGCGTAAGAACGGTTTGGTACTGCCTAATGGTTGCTGATCGAGAATGATGGTATTAGAGGTAGAGCGTGGGTGGAATTGAAACTTTTTAAATTTCCTTTTCTATTTCTTCACAAACATGTGAAAATGACCTTTCCATGCGCTTTCTTTTGTTGCATCTCTAGGCTGACCTGAAGTGGTAGTAACTAAAACTACTAAGGAAGAACCATACAAAGGGCTGCTAAAATAACCCTGAGACCGTAACGCAAAACAAAGGCACAGTTGGAGGTACCTCAATTGGTCAAGTGGTTAAAAACTCAATTAAACAAACTAACCTATTACTACAAATCTTCATCTTCGTTGTAGGCAAAATGTGACCGTAGCATTTAACGGTTAAATTTTAAGAGCGAACTTGTACTTATCAACCAAATCTACCTTTTCTTCAACCACTCCAAACTGATCAACCGCAGATATATTAAGATCATGACAAAACGTGTGAGCATTAGAGGGGCACAAAAGGCCTTTGTAGATTGCGCACTTGGAGGTGATTAAGAATCCACTTAAATCTTCTTCTCCATTCATCATCGAGCAAGTAGGATTGAGAGTAAAGGAGAAGTGGTAGAAGAAGAAAAGAAGAAGAAGAGAGAGGGAAGCCTTCTGTGTCTAACGCCCTACTCAAATGCTGCATTGAGGCAGCTCATAATTGAGGAAAATATAGCACTTGTTTAAACAAAATATATAGAGGTTATTATTTCATTCTTCGATTAGATTCAGTATTTTTATAAGGAAAATTGTTGACAAATGAACAGACTATTTTGAGAAAAATTATGGATGTTGTAGGGACCACTCAAATGGTAAGGCAATGCATTTTTACCACCTTACTCGCAAAGATTGGTTCATAATTGGACGATCCTGTGCATATAAAGCATGACAACTGGCAGGAATGTGGTGTCTGTCAAGTAAGAGCCGTGCTCTCTCATTTTAAATGGACGTATTTTTATACTGCTGGTGGAAGCAGTGTGACCAGTCGTTGTACCTACTGCCTTCTAAAGAAGGCACAAAAGGAAAATTTTACTTGCATGTCCCTTTTCTCTTCGACCATTGGCCGCTTGTGACCTTGATCTCTCCACATGATTGGAAGTTTTTTATAAGGGTGGCAGATCTACCCAAAATTAAAGGCCTCACTCGAGCAGAAGACCATTCGATGTACCTGGCTTACTTGTCAAACCAGCGTGGTGATATTGACCCCTTTAATGTGACATGGTAAATGGAAATGCGATGGAGTCGACACATTTCTGTAGAGTGAGTGAATAATGGAAACCGATGTATGTGTATGGGATATTTTGCTTACAACAACGATGGTAATCGATCCTCCTGGATCTTGATAAAGCCTAATTATTATTATCAACTTAACGTAGAAAGTTTGTTGGGTACTAGCACTGTTGACAGGCACATGTAATCAACTGAGGCTCTACCACATCCAGTCATATGAGGCTTGACAGAAGGCGGGCTATAAAATCCAACTGGCAGAGACCCTATGAAGTCATGAACGTTATTTGGAGAATAAGCAAAACGGTAATTTCACTGCCAAGCCTAAATTGCTAGTATCATGTCACCATTATTGCCGGGTCATAAGTATCCTTCATGGTTACAACACCGCGTAAAGTGGAAGAATCAGCTCTCCTCGCACTGTAGGGTTGGTGGGAAATCTGTTTTCATTGTGTGCATTCAGAGGAGGACGGTGAACCAATAGACTGATAATTCACCAGAATATATGCATTATAGGGTACAGAAGTTTTATTTCTAATTGTAACTATGGGTAAAAAAACACTGTCTACTCATCTACAACCTTGTGTTCAAAAGTGTTATATGAAATGAAGCGATTAAACCAGTTGTATTCTTATTTAGGGGCATACTAGCCGGCGTTGTCAAAACTGACGAAAACAGCGAGAAAGGGGACCGTGGGTTCTGCGTTCACATGTGGTCATGTCCGATGAAGTGATGAAGTGAAAGGGAGAGTAGATACCCAAATTTTCGACTGCACACAGACGTGACATTGGGGAGGACAAACGAAGAGGTCTCGCCAGACACACCCAATGGTGGTTACCTAGTATGACTGCAGAACAGACAGCTCGGTCTATTTCAGCTAAATAACTTTAGTTTGAGCGTATTTTACGCATATGAAAAGCGAAGTAGATGCTACTGAAGAGAAGAACTTAATTAAGTAGCAACTATTCCACCTCATTGCGCAATGGTTAGTTATTGATATATTTAGAACTTATTTTCCTTCATCTGTAATGCCTTTATGAATGATGGCGCATCAAAACCAAATAATTCTCTTGAATAATTCTACTAGTTGAAGTATGTGTCAAAAAAAGGAAATATAAGCTTATGACTTCCACTCACATTAATGGTTTCGTCTAGTCGCCTCCATTTACACCTCACAGTCGTTTGCCAACTGGCGTTCTATTGTACAGCGAATGGCAAGACAAAGTAATAGTAAATATCTAGAGCAACATCATAAGAGGAATACTGGGTAATACTGAGGCAGTACCTCCCCCTTCCCCTTCCCAAAGTGCTAAATGAGGTCCTCTTGTGGGCAAACGCTGTGGCAGGTAGAATGAAGACTAAAGAATTTGTACCGTCTTCAAAAATGAGGACTTCCTCTTCAGTAAATGATTCGCCACTTTCCAAAACATGGCAATCGCCATTGTTTTCGACGAAGACGAGAAAGCTTCGCTTACACACCTTTGAATTACAACACGTAGGCGGACCTCCGACGTGATTGTAGTTTGACATTCATCTAAGTGAAGAGTTGCATAAATACGCACACAATACGAATGTACAAAGGCGTCACAGTCTTCTTGGACTGAAGTGATACACGCCTCGCAAGCGTGATTTAGGCAGTAAGTGCATCGTTGTCAAGCAATGACTGAGATGATCGTCCCCTCAACGTTGCAATATATGTTCCATTTCTCGTTTTAAGGCAGTCAGCCATCTGTTCAATCTCAACTCAACATTTTGACAACACGACGTGAGGAAGTGACAAACATATTTATTGCTTAGTCATTGGATTCGACTCACACATTTTAATACGTGACACGTGGCACACAGTTGATGGGCTGCCACAATCATTCTCCAGTTCCAGTCGATAGAAGTGTCGGTAAATACTCCTATCAGTCACGCTGAACATGACTGAGTGGTCCTGACGCCCTTCTTCTATAATTATCTCACCAACCACCAGCAAGCAACACCTCGTCAGAATGGGGAACGGAGGGTCTCATTCAACGCGAGATATCGTCAGAACCAAGTACTGCACTTCACTCCCTTACTTCACCCTCTCCAATGGCTACACACCAAAGTTGAGATAAAGCTTCTCCAGCTGTGGAAGTGACTTCAACTCGACATGTTGGATGGTCAAACTCGAACCACATCAGTCAACTTCAACCAACATTTCTTGATCCGAGGGTCCAGCATTCGAGGGAGATGAGAGATGACGGGATAATGGGTGCCATACTGATGCATATGTCGGTTCCGTAACGCTGATAACAGGCACACTTCGTTGACCCTCACTAATTACAACGAGTTAGTTCAGCCTGCTAGACCAGACAATGTACTGACTTCTTCTGTTAGCCAACATGCATGAGTGATCGCTTTCACCACCTTGACATCCACATTCTCTGTCGTATCTCACAACGTCCTGGTGAAGTGGCCTTCCCTAGTAGCTGTCTCTGCCACCGATCCATGGAACTTTCCTTCCAGTCCCAATTGCGCTTTGAAGTGATCGTTACAAGAGCACTGACAGAAGGCGCCAGCAGGATGTTACCATTAGAATGCTGTCGACGGAGTTTAGCACCGCCTTTAACTGATTTTCCATAAAGGGCCTCAATTTGGTTGTTTTACCGCACCCAAGAAGCCATCTTTATGGTGGCTGCATTTCTGAATGTTCCATTTATTTAATTTTGCAAACTACCGATGAAAATGCAAGAAAACCCTGGTGTAGTCGTGCAACCTTCCCCAAGTTGATGGACCATACAGTGCCATTAACACCACTCCAGGCTTCCTCAATGCCAGAAAATATCAAATTATAGTAAATAAGTAACATTTAATTCAATGTATAAGAATGTGTAAGACTGAAACGGGAAAAAACTCAAATGGAAAGACGTGCATCCAACTTATCCATGCCTTCTCGAAATGCCATGAGTGTACTTGCTAAACAGGAAGAGGAGTAGACGTTTCAAATACCATCGGTCTACACCTACATGCATTGGCGACTCCCAACTTTGCAGCATGAAATCATAAATCTGATTGGCAAGAGCCTCAAAATCCTCCGATTCAGGTGTACGCGACATCTTGAAGCAGTGAACACCACCGGCTCGAACGGGATGACTTCTCATTATCAGATAGTTCACCATAAATACGAAAATTTTTGATCACCTCGAGTGATGAAAGTTTACACTAAAACGAGTTGCTGTCACAGGCCACCTGCTACTGGTATGAACATCGCAAGTAGACAAAGTAAAGTGGTTTGAGGGCAAGTGATACTGACTGGGAGTTCAGTTGATAGGAGAAGTTGATTAAGGTAGCAAGACTAGTTACCTCGTATTCGATGAGTTGGTTGTGGATGTGCGGATAGGACAGCACAACCACACTTACAGCCTTTTATAAGTGCTGTCAGTTCTGGCAGGCAGTCGAGAGGACAGTATAAACTATTGGCCGAGGTGAATATGACTACAAGGCGATAGCAACAGTCACGACTTCATTCATATCTAGGTACAAGTTTGGTGCCTCCACCATAATGTTAAAGGGGCTGGACTAATTTTACACCGAGAGTTTTAATTTGCTTTCTGTCCCGACATTGTCTAGATTCAATGGCTGTCCTGTTTACACCTACAGCATAGCAGAAAGTATCGTATGAAATGCAGCAGATACAAAAAAGGGTTTTGATTTTTTAGAGTTCTGTCACGTCTACTGATTGATTTCAGGAGGGCTCTCCAAAATGTCGGAAAGGGTGCCTTTAAACCTCACGTTGGTAGAGAATTCGTAAATGCTCGCTTAGATGTAGAAATCTCTTCGCTATTCGATATAGACTGTTTAAACTTCTTGTATTATACAAGAGGAGGAGTGTCTAAGTCGTAAGCTATTAGTGCGCTGCATTGCGGACACTGACAACCTCTTTGTGCATACGATCTGATATTATGGTTAAAGGTGTAAGTAGGAAAGCATGAGCTTTAAAGTGTTTCATGATTAAGACGAAGATCTCTTTGGTATTCTATACTGAGAAGAACTAAAAGAATGACACGAGACGGTGGAAAAAGGCTCAGCTGAGCAGTAGTAAGATAGTTACGTCGTTGTGAAACCTTGAAGAGGGCTGCAGGCATATGCAAGATAATCTATCCCCTAAACATTGGTTTCAACTAGTTGAACTTCTCGACCAAATTATAGCCTCTCACATGTTAGGCAGATCCTTGCACGGCACCATGGATTACACTCACTCATGAACAACTGCCATTCTGAGAGACAAGCCCACAGTGGATTTCGAGGCGTTC